AAAATTCCTTTGGCGAGATTTGCTGCCCTTAACAGGATAAAAACTGAGCACCTTGAACCAATTACACCTATCTGCTGGTAAGAAAAACAGTATGCATTGACAATAGCTCAGCAGCATCACCTGAGCCTAATTTAAAGCTGCGCATACTTGAGAATTGGCATTCTTCACACACAACACAGGAAAAGAGAGATTCACAAGCACAAGATGGACAAGTAATGAGTAAGGCACTTTTCTCCAAGTTGTTAGAATCAGAGACATGTTCAAACTTCATCACACTACGGTGAACTAGAGGGAGCTGCCACTTGGTCATTGTTTTCTGCATTCTCTCGTGTAATAAAATTTTCAAAAGTGGTAAGAAAAACTATAGAGGTACAACAGAAGTAGAAACAATGTTATTTATGTAGAAAGTAGGTTGTGCTTCCACTAGTAAAATTGTGCCAGATTCCAGCTGTGCTTTGTGTATTGAACTCATCATGTTTTTCACCCTTTGCTCCTGACCTTCCAAATGGCCCAGAGGAGTGAGACTATGTGAAGGATCATTAGTTAAGTACAACAGAGCTCCTGCTAGGTTTAGCTAATGAGATTTCTCCTTTAGTGTTCTGGAAAGGGCCAGAGAAAGATTGGCCTAGGCTCTTGTATTCATTATTTATCATTGTTCAATTGTTCATTTATCAGAGGTGTAACAGTCACATCTAGAAGTATACTTACTTGTAAAGGTTGAAGAGTGTATTTGCATACAAAGTAAAAGCATTACACCTAGCTAATTTATAGTTCATGTGACTTTACAGAAAATATCACTGGTCAGAAAACACAGGATTATTAGCATCCATTCCATTAAGTATAATTTAAATTTTCAAAGGTAAATAGCACTAAAACTGTCTGCAGATAGCTGTAGTACAGTGAGGAAGAAGTTCTCCAGGTTCAACATGTAGTGAGCAAAACCTTTATAAAAAAAACAGGAAAAGGATCAGGAAGAGTCAAAACAACACACGTTCTTCATATGGAGCTGAAATCTGAAGAAAGGAACCACTGGTAGAAATCATATGATTTGAAAGACAGGCCAGGGGATTCACTTAAGATAATTAAATTATTTCCCTGATGTTCATCTGAAGTCAGCAATTACATTTTAGAACAGGTAATGAGTGCACAGACTCAACACTTCGCAGATACAATGCTGCTCTAGGCTTCAAAGCCTATAGTTTTCACATAGCTGCTGAGCTCTCTCTAACCTTACAACCCAGCAAAGACAAAAAATCGAGATCCAAGTGAGATCCATTTGGTTTAACAGATAGGAAAAATATCAGGGTTAAAAAAGAGGGAAAATAAACTTATTACAAAGTTACCAGTTTACCCCTAACTGCTCCGAACCTTATGCAATGATACTAACAGGGAATCACTTATTTTTATCAGATGCTCCAAAGCCTTTTTTCCTTCTGTGTCCCAATATTTCTTCAGTAAATGAGGATTTGCAGACTACTAGGGCTTATTCAATGTTGAAACACAGGCCTGGCACACCTCACTCAGAATCATTGACACAATGAGGCTTGGAAGGCACATCCAAACCACAGAAGAGAGGAAAAAAACATACAGTATGGCATCCAGGAAGAAACCTGTCTTCACCAAGACCACTAACACAGCCTGACAACCTACAGACTACATTTTGCCACCTGTTTCTCCTCATAAGCAAAAGAAGCAGCAGAAATTTGAGATCAACTGCTTTTTTTCCATGAAAGTTTGCTGATGCTGGTTTATAGGTCCTGATCTGTAAAAGAAGGCCTTCAAATATAACACTAAACATGAACATTCAAGAAAACATGGATTTTTTTTTCTTTTTCTTTTTTTTTTTTAATTTGCAGCCCCCAAATGCTATATGTGCAATATGATGCATTAAGCATTGTCTTGAAAGTGAGTTGGAGAAGGCCTAATATGTTTTTATAATGTGTGCTGCAATTAAAATATTAAACTGAGTCCCACTATATGCAGCATTTTGAAAAGTTTGCCTAACGTAAACGCTTTTAATCACATTTTGACATCTAAACTGAAAACAGTGATGGATAGACAGGTTCTCTTGTACAGTTTGGAGTAGCTGATATTTACAAAATGTTGGAAGAAATAAGATGGCAAAAGTGGTAGGACAACTTCTAAGAATTGTTTGCTGAGGACAAACTGAAGTGTCATAGACATGATCAAAACATTCTGTAAAACTTTGCATACTGGTTTATTCAGCAGTGACTAATTCTCCTCAGGGGCTTCCAGTGCCAGATCACGAGAAATATTTTCATATGCTTTGAAAACAGAACGTCTCCTAGTCTATTTATTAATCCCTTCATCTTTCCAATTACAAATACTTTTAAATGTAAAAGGATGGTGCTTGAGGCTATGCAGTTGCTTCCTGCCTGAAATCCATTGATAATTAGGTAACAGATTAATATCACTATATTAATTTCTGATACAGTGATAACATTTGGCTGTTTGGCCACAATGTCACTTTGAAACTAATACCATTTAGAGACTGCCAGAAAGCTGCAGTATGGACCTCTTGTTTACAAATGCAGATTTAGCAGAATTATTCTACTAGTTTCCTTCAAAATGAACAGCAAAAAAGACTGTATACAAAAATACCTAAGTTAGCTGCCCAAGCAATGCAGCTCTGTCCATGGAATACTCTCAAGAACATTAAGCAAGGCACACGATCACACAGAGCATACCTAAAAGCACATATAGATATTCCCTGGCTGTGAAACATGACAATAAATTGTGTAATGTCGCATATAATATTTTTACTTTCAACTGATGGAGATTTGTATGGTTCAGGACTGTTAATGAATGAAGAAACAGTGGGGAAGCACACCAGCTCCTTTAAGTTCATTCTTTATTACATATCTAATTTAAAAGAGGTTATGGAAGACTTTACCTAGCCTTGAGATTTACATATAAGAGTGAAAGCCATCGTCACATCTGCAGAATCACCCTACCTGACCTCCTCCTTAACTTCTAAGGAAAACTGTAACTTACCGATCTTCTCACTGTATTCAAAAGGAAATGATGATTTTCTACTAGCAAGCACAAGTGATACTCATAAATAGTAATCTGACTTAATTTTAGGCTCAAAATAGCAAAAGAGAAAGAGACAAGGCCTAAAATCGTTCTCATTAATAAGCTTGAGTCTAACTGATAGAACACCAATTTAAAAAAAAAAAAAAAAAAGTGAGAACACCTAAACAAAACCTGGTTAATTTCAAGGCACTTAACTCATATATCAAGAGATATTAGATATTCATTTTGAATAAGAACTACCTTAGAAGAATCTTAATCCATCTTTGAAATTCTGATAGTGTTACTCACTTTAAGTAGTCACTTTGAACTTGAAACTGGAAACCAAGAAGAGAAGTATGCACTAACACCATTTGAACTTCCAGTCTCCCTTCATATAGCTGGGACTTCATGACAGTTGTAGCCTCGGTATTAAGCCCTTGTACAAAAAGAAAATCTGTATTATTTTATCATTTTACTTCGCACATAAACAATTACTTTTAACGTTATGCTTCTGTACTACAGAGTCTGGAATGAAGTTACAATTTCTTAAACAGGTTCAAAGTTCTCATTGTGGTTAGTTGTCTCCTGAGTGTATTTCATAATACCCAGAAAAAAAAAAAAAAAAAAAAAAAAAAAAAAAAAAAAGATAAATTTCTTTCTATCTGTGCCAATGTTGATTCCTAGTTTATTCCTAGTTTAAATAAGCAAGGTTGTTTTGGTTGTTGTTTTTAAGTGTACTGCTTACAACACAGCTATTTGAGTAAACTAAATAAATTTACTCTCATCCATTGTTCGTCTACATTAGAGAAACAAATGTTTCTCCATGTAAGAGAAAACTGGTCATGGTTCTTGCCCATCTCTATTTCAATTCTACTCTAGGCTCATTTTTCATTAAAAGGGATGCCCAGAAAAGTGACTACTTAAGGCTTATGTCATTAACACTTATGTCAAAAAAATACATAGAGTTGATAATTCCTGCGGCAGGATTTACATGGACAGATACCCTGCTAACCTTGAACAGCTTTAAAAGATCTTTTTATTCCTCTCTGGTATTTCAGCTTCAGGCTGAAATTTTAGTGCCTAAGCGCAGGACCATTGGGGTTTAATTGTTTGGTGGTGATTTTGTTTTGGGGTTTAATTTTTTGGTGGTGATTTGTTTTCTTTCAGTTCTTAGAATCATGCAGCTTTGCACAATATTGCAGTCTTTTACCTAATTTGCAAGAAGAGCTCTGACCTGTACTACACCAGCAATTTCAGTCTGAGAAGTCCCATTAGCCTCACTTACGGTTTAACCACATGACCTCCTTCATGCATCTTTATTAATCTGAAAAAAAAAAACCTCTTGCAGTGGTATCTTCACAGATGCATTCTCTAACTGTTTTTTCCCAATATTGGGCACAACCGGCAGGATTTGGGTGGTGAGAAGCTGCAAGATGCTCTCTGTGGTGAAAGGGATGTGCCCATCCCCAGCACCTCAGCAACCGACAAAATGGCCGCCAGCCCCTCCCCCCCCAGCCAACCAGAGGAGGTCCTGGCATGGCACTGCTGGGGGTCTACTTAAAATGGCGGGTGCTGGGGTGCATGGAGGTGTTTGGAAACTTACGCCCTTGATTTGAGGCATCAAAGCAAAAACCCAAAATAACAGGCATGAACAAGACTCCCATGATAAGAACAAAGGTGGTTTGAAGAGCTTGAGAATACTCAAAGGCAGTGTTCAGCAATCAGAAATTAAGAGAAAATTTGATCACCGTATTGAAGGAACATTTAGATTGCACATGGAAAGGGAATTACATCTATCATATACCTAGCACATTGACAAATGGTCAAATTGAAATAAAAATTCATGAGTTTGAACTGTTTAGTTACTCATTCTTTCTTGTGAAATGAAGCCTCTCAAAACTGCCATTTCTTAAAAGTGTTTTTTACTAAACAAAGCTCATGGCTGTCACAAGATCTCTTTCCATGTGACAAAGAATATTATTCAAATGGACACAAATTAATGTCATTGCCTTGACGGAGTATGAAACAAGAACAGGACATGACATTGTCAGTGATGCAACAACTATCCACTGCAAAAATAAGCAGAAAGTAACACGCAGGGGGCCAGATGAGGCAATGCTGCAAAGGCACACTGCAAACCCACAGCCTTCCACACAGCTCAGGAACATTTACATTGCAGCAATTCACTCAGTTTGCATGACCTTGAATATTTACAACATTACAAATCAAAACTTTACTTCAGTTTCAGGGGAATACACAAAGGCAAAAAATAAAAAAAGATGACAAATAATCTGTCAACCCAGTTTTAACAAATGTTTTTAGTAAAACAGGGTATTTTAGATGGCTAATGAAGATGAACTTTATTTTGCATACACATTGCAGCAGTATTTAGATTTCAACAGACTATACACAGACATTTACAAGTTTCAAATACAAGATTTCACCAGCTTCTTAAGCTGAGACAGGACATTTGCATAAACACCAACATGGAAATCTAAATTTATATTTCCAAGCTAGAACTACAAGTTTTCATTCCTCAAAATGAAGTTTCAAATATTTTGAAATAGCCTGTCATTTACACTATCTAATTTATCAAGGAGCTCTTGTCTTAAATGGCAATTTGTCCCTCTTTTTGTATTAATATAGAAGGTTAATTTTTTCTTTATTTTTCTCAAGTATTAGCATTCTGCAATGTTTATTTGATTAAAAAATAAAATAAAAGGCAACAGAAAGCACATACTTATAAACAAACAAAAGCCAAAGAGAATTGGGAATAGAAATAAAATGTCCTGCTTCGATTCTCATCCCATCAACCCATTAAAGTTTTCTACCACACTAGGAAAAACAGGGAACTGAACAAAGACATTTTCAGCAATCTTTGGAAGAAGTGTGAACGTTTCTTTCCTGAAAGATTATACTGTCTCACAGAAGCTGCTGACATTGCCTCCTTTCTAAGCTTCAGAGTTCTGAACTTTGCTTCTTAAGGAACACCAGAAACTAGAGAAAGGAGTAACAGCAGGCAGAATCTGCAGATAAAAGAGAAGACACGTAGCTGCAATTACAAGAAGATCAAGAAAACCAAAATTGTTTATATTACATTTGTATGTGACAAATGGATAGAGGGTTTTGTTGTTTTTGTTTTTGTTTTTCGTTTCTGATTGCTTGGAAGTTAGAGTGATTCTCAGAACATATATTTATTAGTAGTTTAAGAATGTAACTATACATTTGAATGTTTTGCACTGTCATTCAGTAAAACACTTGAATCTACTATAACATTTCATTGGTTTGTTTAGCTATTATATTTAACATATTTAGGAATGGCTGCAGAATCATGAAACAAATAATGACCTAATGTGCTTTTTTCTTCAAAAAAGATTCAGCTCCTCAAAGGGCTTGATTATTTACAGCATTTCATTTCTTGTTTCTCTCACAGCTAGAGGTATTTCTTCGATCAAAGAATCTGAGCACTTCTTCTGATCAGCTATTACATTACACCACATAACACTTTTGCAGGGAGTTTGAGACTAAAATAGACAGAGAAAAGGATGAAGGAAATGCACAGTCAGAGCTACCACCATGTTTATTTCATGTTACCTCTGTAACAACCCTGGATCAAAGAAAAAGAACTAAGGAGAATTTTGAAAAAGAAAAAAACAACTGACATACACATTAAATATTTGCTTTATTTTATTTTCTCTGCTAGAATTTTGACCATGATACTTTGGGCATTGTTCAGAATAAAAAACAATCATTGTATCATTGTCCTATAAAAAGTAGTTTTTACGTAGTATTTTGACTTTAATTTATGACCATTAAAGTTCCCATTGGGCATAATTAGAAATACAGTAAGAATTGCAGTAAAGTGAGTAGCCAGTCCATGTTTCTGCATTAATATTTGCAGAAATAAAGTCGTAAATAAAAGGGCATAGCTGGTCTTCAGAAGAACCAAGCAGAGAAGAGCCTAAAATCAGACAAGTCAACCCTTATCAGAAACATTCAAAAGAAGTTACCTAGGACTTATTAAAGTAAATGAATTTAACTTAGTCTACAGACTAAGATGATAAAGATTTCCTGGTGACATATGGAAAAATGAATAAATTACTAAAAAAACAGAATAAAATACTAAATATATTATTGAGGAAAAGACATCAGTGTTAGCAAGAGAATACAACAGATATTGGATCATAAATGCCTGCTGAGGTGAGGAAGAGTTGGATTCATCAGCTAAGGAGATCACCTACAAACCCTATGATATTACGTGAAGCGATAACCAGTGTCAACTTGGCCAACGTTTGCATTCATTTGATTTGAAGTTGCCTTGTTGCATACAGGGTATTTTGTAATCTGACCTAAGAACAATAAAATAAAGGTTTGACTGAAGGTGAATCTCCAACTGAAATTAATTTCGGGGTCTGGAACAAGTTCAGTCATAGTTAATTAGGATCGTGATAGAATTACCCTTACAGGGTCAGCACACAGAATGGCTTGGGTTGGAGGGGACCTTAAAGGCCATCCAGTTTCAGCCCGCTGCCATGGGCAGGGATGCCACCCATCAGATCAGGCTTCCCAGGGCCCTATCCAGCCTGGCCTTGAACACCTCAAGGGATGGGGCACCCAGAACCTCACTAGGCAACATGTTCTAGTGCCTCACCACACTATGAGTGAAGAATTTCCTTCTAACATCCAATTTAAATCTCCTCTCTTTTAGTTAAAAGCAGTTCCCCCTTTGTCTATTACTATCAGCCTACATAAAAAGTCGCTCTACATAAGCCCCACTTTCATTACTTGAAGGCCACAATGAGGTCTCCACAGAGCCTTCTCATCTATCAACTGTGCTACTCAGCTCGGTGTCATCTGCGAACTTGCTGAGGGTGCACTTGATCCCATTGTCTATGTCATTGATAGATATATTAAATAGATAAAGATATTAAATAGATAGAGATATTAAATAGCACCAGTCCCAAGACAGACCCCTGAGGGACACCACTCATCACCAGACTCCAGTTGGACCTAGAGCCATTGACCACAATTCTCCGGGTACAGCCCTTCTGCCAAACACTCCCATTTTCTGTATTGTTTGTGATTTAAGTCAAAGATGTTTTCAAGTTCCTTTTTCACCCTCAATACAGTGCATAAAATGTTCATACCAACTTTTTGCTAAACCCAGATTAAGTAAAATGATTGATGATACTGAATACTAATGATTATATTTCCATGAAACATTATGTATTCCTCCAAGACAGCTTTATTTATAATGCATTTAAACTATGTCAGTTTTTTTTTTTCCTATTGATTCACTCTACAAGGTGTGACAGGCAAACAGAAGCAAGTACTGTCAATGCTTTGTTTTACCATATAGCAATCCATTGTGCTGAGTACTTTGTTATTAAAACAAAAAAGATAGATAGTTAGAGGTTGGTTTTACTTTTAAAGAGCATACAACAAGCTATTAACACGCTTCCATAACTTTATAAACAAACTTCTTTGCTTTCTTAAACATATCTATAAACTCCCATTTATCTAGGTTGGAGCCAAGTCTTCAGGGTATTGTCAGATAGAGAGAATACAAAGATACCCATTTCTGATCCCCCACCTCCACACACACACACTCTCATGTCTCTTTGATCTTATGTTTCTGTATTTGCTATTTTACAGCTGCTCATTTTCCACACTGCTGTCTCAAAAACAACTCACATTAAATGCAAGCTTAATTATCTAATGCATCTTTCATACACAGACCATCTATGCCACATTATCACCTGATGTAGCATGATTATTCCATTCCAAAATTGTTTCTTTTACCTTTTAAAAGGAAGTTAAAGGATAATATTTAAGAATTTTCAGAATTTTCAAATTTTCAATTGGAAATCCACATGTAGGCAGGAACTACAGTTTATAATTCACATAGTCAATGTTCATAGATACTCTCCTGTTAGTTCGTTCAACCCATCTTCCTTTTGATTATGATTATAAGCACTTTTTCCTGCCTCTTGTTCCTGTTAGAAGCACTCACACTTTAAGGTTGTAAAAAGAGTCTGCTGCTGCTCTATCCTACCAAACGGGCATTAGCTAAACACTTCTTGCCTAGGTGATGAGCAGGTGGTCTTGGCACTGTGCTCATGGATGCAAATCACCAGTATTGCACTGCTCTGGCCCTTCCAGTGGAGCAGGACCAAGCTTCAAGAGCACAGACTGGAGGAGGAAAAGGATTTATGGTTCCAATCTTGTTGCTAGCAAAATCAAGATCAGTACATTTGAGATTATTTGCCATTTATGAGGTGAGAAGAAGGAATTTTTCTTCATTGGTGAATGGCTGACAATATAACAGAATTTTGTAAAGTATGGTTGGCTAAAAAGAAGTTGAGTGACTTACAAGATACCTCTTTACTTGCACGCTACTGCATCTAATATTTCCATATGGATTATCATTTAACACTTAGTATGCTACCCATGACATGAGAAGTGTTTACACAGTATCTTTAAACATGTCACCTGTTTGTCTTGAAATTCACAATCTGAGAAAAAACAAGCTACAAGCGGGTCTAGAGTCTCTTAAATGCCTCAGTAAGCATGCTGGTGGTAAATCTTCATTTCCGGCAGCATCTGCTGGCACTATTACATGAATTGCTCGTTTCCAACCAAGAAGCTTTTCTATGATTTCAATCACAGTGGTTTTAATTTCAGTAGTAATTCTCGATTACCACTGTGTAAATCAAAGTGCAGGGGGTTGCACAGAGAATGAAACAGATGAATGCTTTTATAAGGATCAATAAGGAAAAGATTTTATTTTAAGTTTTCAATAGGAAAATGAGAGCTGATACTGTGCAGTATTGTCACAGATGTTATCCCACCTTCCCAATCTTCCTCCAGTTATTTTGATAAATATGCTCAGAACAGTAAATAACACCATTGAGGATCTAACTCAATTGTACTATATGAACACTAAGCATTTTGGATACACGAGATGAAACCAAAACTGCAAAAAGTTGTGTTTTGTTTGTTTGTTTAAAAAAGTCTTCAGGGTGTATCAGCTTCCTTCATCTGAACTTAAGCACCTGCAAAACATCAGTATGCCTGAGAGCAGTTGGAAAAGCTTGTATTTCATCCACACTTCTGTAATAAAACCAATACTGCACTGAAGGAGCTTTTCTCCCTCCTCCCACAGGACACGAATGCTGATTGCTTACAGACTAAGACTTAATGACTTAAAACACTTCCAGATATTGAGTGTATTTCAAAGGAACTGCTTCACATTGTTTACACCTCGGAGTCTTTGTACCATGAAAGAGAGATAAGGAAAATAAGTTTTACAGACAGAGATTGCTCATGATATGAAAAAATCTTAAATACAAATTAGCAATTTACTTGCATGAAAGAAGAATTATAATATGAGAAAGACTTGCTTCCACTACTTACAGAACTACACAGGTAATAATACTACATGCTGTCTAGAATAACTGCAGAATAACAAAGTAGTGCTGTCCAGCCACAGCAGATGTTTCAGATGTTTCAACCGTTTGTATTACATATTTTTGTTTTATATGTACCAAAAGAGAGAAGCCAGGAAAAAACAAAACAAAACAAAACAAAACAAAACAAACAAAAAACAAAAAAAAAAAAAAAAACCACACAAGGGCAGCTTTGAAACACTAGCATCAAACAGTGCTTGGAAATAATCATTGACCATGGATCAGACTCATCCAAACCAATATAATGTTACACATACTACAGAAAACATCTTGTACAGTTTGGATTAGTTTCCTATATCACTTCTAAGGCTCATCAACAGTGCAAATAATTTACTATAGAAATAACATCTCTTCAGGAACAACAGCTGCCACCTCACTTATGGCCTTCCTCTGGTATGTCTTTTTTTTTTTTTTATTAGCTGCCATTTGGGATTTCTAAGCTAGCAAGAACTACCAAGGTTTAGACTTTTTTAACCTGAATCAATAAATGAATAATTCCAGACAACACAACTCCAAATTTCATTCTCAAGGTGATCCAATGTCACACCTGTCTCAAG